TTCTTCGACTTAAGTTGAATGAATATCTTTGTACTTGAACAATGGGAAAGGAAAAGCACATGCACAAGCATGAGAAATAAAGGACCTTGAGTATTAGACTGTTTAGTCATTCTCTATTCACCACTAGCATATCTAATGGCTCTCACCCTCTTGTGACCGTCCACCACCCCATATCCCTACCAGCCCACGTTGTAGAACTACAGTTTCTTTGCAGCTAATATTCAAGATGCACTTGTGTATTATCTTCTCATTGTTTACGAACTTGCTTCATGTATGTGGTAGTAAATGTGTAATAACCATTGGAGCATGCAGTTGAGATACCATTAGCTGATTAAATGGCAATATAAAGGTCCACATCAAATTTTTTGTTTTTTTTGATCTATAAAGTAATATGGCCAAATGCTTAAACTTCAGTTTTTGGAGAGTCATAGTACTGATGGTATTCATGTGGAGATCCATTAATTTTGGAAGGTAGATTTTTCTGGGAATCTGGGTGAGCTCTGCTTTGGTTATTTTTATTTCATTTAATCATCAAATATATAACATTTTCATGAAGATGAGATGAAAAGGATGCCTTTTTCGGCCTACAATAACATTTTGGTACTATCATACTTGCTTCATCCACTAGTTTATCTACATACTATCTTTTGCTTTAATGTTTATGCAATCGCATAGATATGTATCTAAGCATGCACATGCTCAGACAAATATATGTAGATGCATACAACGTACTTCCATATGCACAGACATGTATGCATTCATGTATATGTGCATACATGTACCACATCTTTTAGGCTATCCTTTATGGTATAGTATAATTGTAAATGTTGCCTCTGTATGATTTCAGTTTGTCATCTCCTCATTTATATCTGTAGTTGCTTCAACTAACAGCTTATGCCCACATTCTGGACCCTGCCATATTTAAAGAACTCTCAACCAAATTTAAGGATTGCCAACTGCAGGATGTGTACACATATCAGTCAACCAGCTGGGATCCACGTTCAAAATCAACCATTACTTTGTTCAGTTTCTTGTTGCTTATTCTCTGTTGAATCATCCTTTCGTTGACTTTGGCCTCATCATGACTGTACAATAACAAGAAAATAATTAATATTTCAAACCAAGAACATTGGTGAGATAAAAAAAAGCTTTTATTTAAGAGCCGGTTTAGATTGCTATTTGAGGAGTTTTTTTTTGATAAAAAAATATATTATAACGATTTGACATATAGGAAGTAAAAATATGTTCACGATAGGCGTAAAACTGTAATCAAAACGAGGCCAATAAAGAAAGACAGACGGATGAGGAACAAAACTAAGAAAAAAATAAAACTGACCTTTGAGACTCTGAAGCTGAAGCTGTCGAGAATTTTGCTAGTTTAACAGCATCTTCTGTGTTTGTAATTACATGATTAAAGCATAAATATCGACCATATGTTGAGATGTCTTCAGAAACACAGATGTGAGCATCCACCAAGAAATCTAAATCCACAGTTGCTAACAGCCCATTTTCATACATCTCTGCCGCCCCTTTTAGATAAGGGTTTCTGATTGACAAATCAGGAGCCATCAATAATCCTGCATTGATAGACACCATACTGACTCCTCTGTCCATTGCCAAGGCCCAAGCAGTTTTCTCTGCCAGCGTTTTCGACAGCGCATGCCATAGCTGTCACCATAGACACAAGATTAATTTTGATAGAATATGTCTATCGTTGTCATAGCTTAACCATTATGTATGATAATCATCAGATTTCTTAGCTGCAATTTTTTCTTCTTCTTTTTTTTTTTTTGGCAGAAAATCTGATGTTACAAATATGCTGACATCTAATATATATTGCAATTGCATCTATATCACAAGAAGAGGAGGTTAGCCCAAAAGAAGTTGTAATCATTCCTTGCTATATCATACCTTGAATTTACGACAAAAGTTGATTTCACTCCAACTTTTCTCATCCAACTCTGCTGATGAATCTGATATCTGATGATCCCTCCAGATGACTGCTGTGGCTGAGGATGTAAAAACAACTTTTTCCATGGTGTCTGTCTGATCACATGCTTCCACTACATTGTGTGCTGCTCTAACCTCCACTTCAACCATATTTTCCTGTCATACATAGCAGTATTGTATTATTTTCAAAATCTTTTTTCTTTTGGGATTAGGATTTTAGCTAAAAATCTCATTCTAATTTCATAACTTGGTTAAAAAAAAAGAGATTATAGATTCTTTTTGTCCCCTAGAAGTATATCTGAATCACAAACTTCAAATCAAAACTTAGATTGGCAATTTGGATGACCTTTTGACTTTAAGCTTTTAGGCACTAAAACACGGTAGCAATTTGTCTTCCATGGTTTATTGTTCCGGGACAACATAAATAGCTTGACAGCATATCATTTTCTGGCAGGTTTTTATGGGACCATTTCCTTCAACACATAGCAACCAAGATGAATATCAAGGCACAGATTCACCATTTAGAGGAACTTAAACTCTCAATTTCTGCATAAACCCATTCTTACTTAGGGGAAGTGTTTTTTTAATTAAAAATACAAGCAGTACTTCTTAAATTTTGAACTAGTTGTTAGTATACATCATTCTTTTTTTTTAAGTCGTCATCAAGTTACATTGATTACAGGAATGCTTATGAAAAGGAAAACATTTAATTCAAGCCCTCAACTTTTTTGGGTTAAATTAATGAGTGGTATAATATAGTGTACAAAATCAGTTACTATTGCCTTGTTCCAATCCATTTCAGATATCATAAATCCAGATTTATTATTATTTTTGGTTCTAGGTCGAATATCACTATTCTTATGACTAATCAAATTTATATACCTCACATGGTTCATAGTTCAGGTCCGTGATTGATAAGGATGTGAAAACCAATGCAATTGGCCAATACTAATTAAAATTGACAAGTAACTGTATATTAGGGGATTAGCTAGCTTCATTAATTCTATTAACTTGCTTGAAGGATGTATACCAACTACCAAGGACTATTATTGAGGAGATTTTCATCTCCTTTCACACTTTTACATGGACTCTAACTTTACATCCTTAATTTTTATTTTAATCATTTTGAAGCCTAAAATTTATAAGGGTTTGAGCGCTCATTAATTAACATATCTAAATCATATTCAACCTACCATGTAAATATACATGCTAATAATTATTGCTTTTCCTAGCATTTACGTACTTTGCCTAATTAACTTTATTAATCTAAAAGCTTGACATTCGAATTACGTCCTAACGAGTGCCTATTAGACATTCGAAACGCAGTTTATAAAACATCTCAAACACATAACTACAAGGTTATACTTTAGAGCACAACGTGCTTATTAAGATTCTCAAACTCATAGTAATTGTGAAAAACTGCCCTACACACTAATGATTTTCCAGTTAAAGTACGGGTAGTCCTTTAGAATAATCATCATGTAACAAATTACACTAGGCCCCTAGGTTTGAGCTCTTAAACAATTGAAGCATTAATTTGTGCATGCAATATGTATGTACATGCCAATACATCAAATCGACATTGATATAAAGTTGTATATATCTGCACTTCAAATGGACATAAATAGTTTCCAAAACCCAACTTAACTGCACCCTTGGACCCCCCAAGAAAAAAACCAGCATAAATATTAATGTAACAGACTTTACAAGAAAAGGAAATAAAGTTTATCATTGGAGTTCTATTTCGGAATAGAAGAGAAGCCAGAAATCAGAAGGTGATGGAAAAGAATGCACATACATCATATATGGAATGATCCTGCGGAGGCTCGAACGTGTAAAACAAACAAGAACAACCCTTTAAAGCATCAACCACGCTATGATAGTCAAAAGGGTCCGAGTGAAACACCTTCAAATTCTTCTTGTCATTTGCTAATCCACTAAATGATGCCAAATCCCCTGATATATAAATCCAAAACAAACTTTTGTTATAATGAAGATACTGATGAAAATGACCATACATACTTCAATTTCATTACTTGAACATATCAATGTGAAAGTACACTTTTGACGAGTAATAAAATAAGATTCACGACACACGTGCAAAAATTGAGTTTTAAAAAAAAAAATGAACCTTCAGTTTGAACAGCAGCATGGACAGTGTATCCTCTTTTCAGCAGCCTGTCGACTAAGGTTGAACCTAAACGTCCAGAGGCATCCATGACACAAACAGTACGCGATGCCATTTCTGATTCCTCCTGCAATTTGTGCCCTCCTCCTGTGGCTTACTAGCTGGAGCGGCTTTCTATATATTAGAGGGATGGAGGAGTGTCGAGAGAACGAGAAAGCTATGGCATTTATTTGGAGGGTGGTGGGGCAACTGGGCAAGTGCACAGTTGGCAAGTATTAGTTGGGAAACAGCCAGCCTCCAGCCTCCAGCCTCCAGTCCAGTGTCTTTTGAATGAGTAAATGAATGAAAGTGTGGTAAGTTGATGGATGGGGACATCCCAAGAGGAAGAAGAGTTGGTGGGAACGTGTATATGTTTTTTCCTTTTCTTTTTGGTTTAGCTTTGTTTATTTATAGTATCTACTCAACCAACAAGAAACACCAACTTCATGATCACTTCCGGAAGAAGCCATAATTGTTGTAGGGTACTCTCCAACCATCACAAAAGGATAGCCCATTGGAATTCATCGACAGCCTTTCAGATTTAAAGTATGATCATCCGGTTACTTGATTGATATAAATTCAGCAAAAGTGACAACCAGATTAAGAAAGAAACTACTGGACAAGTTGGATGCTTCAGCTATCTTCTCTTGACGTATAAGTTTCCTTTGCCCTGGTCTGTCCCAGGTTAACAGGGCTGATTTGACCAAAAATTTGAATCGAATTGTTTATTTCAGTATAGTCCAGTTAAAGAGTTAAGCTAGTCTTGCAGAGAATTTGTCATGACGGCTAAAAAATTGTTCTTAAATTGTCTTGATTGCTTCTTTTCTTGAACAACTAATAATTAAGTGTAGGGGAGTCGACCGCGTGGTTGACTTGATTAGTTTCACTGATTAACATGCTGTTCATGAATTTATAAATCTTATATTAGTAATTGCAATGCTTAAAAATAAAAATACAGCAAATTAAATAATGGTAAATTTGCACAAAATAACTAAGGATGTGCTTGATAAGTGGTGTCAATTTTAATTATACCTATACATAATGTTTATTTCAATAACAAGAACATTGGTGAGATAAAAACTTTTAAGACCCGGTTCAGATTGCTATTTGAGGAGTTTTTTTTTTTTTTTGTTTTGTAAAAACATATACTGTAACGATTTAATATATGCTAAGTAAAAAAAATTAAAAAATATATTCGCAAAAAACCTAAAATTTGTATTTCATTAGAAAACTGCAATCAAAACAAGGCCAATAAAAAAAGATGATGGATGAGGAACAAAAATAAGAAAAAACAAAACTGACCTTCGAGACTTCGAAGCTGAAGGTGTCAAGAATTTTGCTAGTTTAACAGCATCTTCCGTTGCCGACAAAAAAAAAAAAAAAAAAACAGCATCTTCCGTGCCTGCAATTACATGATTAAAAGCATAAATGTCGACCGGCCATCCGTTTGTTGAGATGTCTTCAGAAACACAAATGTGAGCATCCCATCCATTTTCATACATCTCCGCCGCTCCTTTTAGATAAGGATTTCTGATTGACAAATCAGGAACCATCCCAATAATTATTCTGCATTGCCAAGCCCGGCCCGAGCAGTTTTCTCCCTCTGCTAGTGTTTTCAACAGCTCAGGCCATAGCTGTCACCATAGACACAAGATTGATTTTGATCGAATGTATCTGTTGTCATACCCAGGCATTATGTATGATAATCATCGGATGTCTTAGCTTAGCTGCAATTTTTATTTTTTATTTTCTTTTTTAGGTTACAAACTGAAAATCTGATGCTACAAATATGCTATGCTGACATCTAATATAGGTTGCATCTATATATGGCTAGATAGATGAGGATAGCACAAAAGAATTTACGACAAAAGTTAATTTCACTCCAATCAATTTTTCTCATCCAACTCTTCTGATGAATCTATATGATACCTGATGATCCCTCCAGATGAGGGCGGTGGTGAGGATGTAAAAACAACTTTTTCCATGGCGTCTGTCTGAGCACATGCTTCCACTACATTGTGGGCTGCTCTAACCTCCGTACGTATCACTTCAACCATATTTTCCTATCATACATAGCAGTAGTGTTATTTTCAAAATCTTCTTCTTTTTTTTTTTCCCCTTATTTGGGATTAGGATTTTAGCTAAAAATCTTGTTCTAATTTCATAACTCACTACAACAAAAAGGGGTTTTGGCAGCAGTTCTCATGCGGCACAAAGAAAAGGTGTTGTGAAAAAAAATGAAGACATACTTGAGAATTTGTAAAATGATTTTGGATAGGGAATTTCGTCATTTTAGTCCATAAACTTTTACACGAAAATCAGTTTCATCCTTCATGATTTTTTATAGTCCATTTAGTCTTCCGAATATTTTGAAGTCTCCAATGTAGGACTTTTGCATCGGCGACGCCACATTTTACGTATTTCGTACAATCGATGATGGGTATATTTGTCCTTTTAAATCAGATTCTTCAATTTAGACAGACCTTTGACTATAGTTCTTCTTTTCCGATGAATTTTACCGAAAATTTCATCTGGATTTATTGGAAACTTGCGCAAACTCTCTCTCTCACACTCAAATCAAGAAACAAAATCCATGATAAAAAAAATAGAAAACCAAGAACCAAAAGGAAAATTGAAACAAAATTTGAAGGAGAAATCTCTCTTATAGACAAGTTTAGGTCTACTCACCGGCAAACTCACTTTGTTTGGTTCTGATTCTTCGATCCTCTATTCATGGTTGTTAGCAAAGACACCACCAATTGTCACTACCGACCCACTTTCATCCATCAACAATTAAAACTCGTGACTAGTCATCATTCACATTTTTCACCTTGAGTTTCATATGAACTCATAAGAATCTCTCTAAAATCCTTGCGGAATCTTAGTTGTAGAGTTGTATACTCTATTTTCTTTCCAAGAAAAGCACTGTGAGGTTTCCATAATCCTTTTTTTGTTTTAATCTCTAAGTTGAGATGATTTTCTTATGGCCGTTGAAATTGCTAGCTTCTTCCCGTATGCTTTGTTTTGTAGATGAATGAAATTAGACAATGATACTTGCTGCAATTTCGTTGTTTCTTTTTCACCTTTTCTGCCTGAATGAGGCTTGACAAGATATTTTTCGACTCAGCCATAGTCAAATTTCATTCGAAATATTCAATTTTTGTGATGACCTTAATCTGTTTGACAAAATGCTCAAACGAAATGAGTTTGTCAGTAGACCTGAGAGTATGTTTGAGAGCCATTTCTCCTTTGAATTTTGCTTCACTTTCCTTATGGTTCTTGATTTTTTTTTTCCTTGTGAATTTTGTTTCATGATTTGAGTGTGTGTGTGTGTCAGAGAGTTTGTGCGAATTTCTGGTGAATAGGATGAATTTCTATTGGAGAAAAAGAACTATGGTCAGAGATCCGTCTAAATTGAAGAATCTAATTTAAAAGGACAAATATACCCATCACCGATTGTACGGAATACGTAAAATGTGGTGTCACCGCTGCAAAAGTCCCACATTGGAGACTTCAAAATAGTCGGAGGACTAAATTGGCTAAAAAAAAATCATAAAGGATGAAATTGGTTTTATTGTAAAAATTTAGGGACAAAAATGGCGAAATTCCTTTTTAGATATGAAAGTCATTAAATATTTGTTCAAGACTTTTTTAAGAATAAAATAGGTATTTTTCAAAAATTTCGCAAGCTCTCTCAAACTTTCTCTCCATTTCCGTCCAATTTGGGAAGAAAATTTTTGCCTACTATTTATCTTTCCGAATCCTCCCATCTTCTTTCTTTTCTTTCGTATTAAAAATTCACAAATAAAAGAAAACTAAACTTTCTCCTTCCCTTTCTTTTCTGTCCAAATCCTCGACTCCCAAACGAAGCCTTAAACAAGAAACGACGACGTAGCATTTTGCTACATTAAATGTCTAATAGCGAGGGGAAAAGGAAAAAAAAAACACTCACTAAAAAGAAAAAAGAAAAAAAAAATTCTAAAGCTTATCAGTTTTCGTTCTCTGCTCAGTTTCCTTCCCCCTGATCTCAAATCCTCGCTCTTTCTCCCGCTAAAATCTATTCCACTGTTCCGATCAGTTAATTTCTCGTCTGCTCTCTCCATTTCTTATTCTTATAGTTGTACTCAATTTCTCTCCCACTTTTCAAGTCTCCATTAGGCTTGAGAAAGAAAAATTGGTTAGGTTTATAGCTTTACACCAATCCAATCCTTCGTTGTTTGCTCTGTTACGATCAATTTTAGCAACATTTATGAGAAATTTACTGTTAATTTCTGTTCATTTTTTAGGTCGATGTTCATGAAGTGAAGGAATTGGAAATTCACCGAGCAAGATTTGTTGAGATCTCAAAGTAATTGTATTCGACAGCGAAGTAAAACCTAACTCTGGTATTGAGAGAAGTCGTTAGAGAATCTTCTTCGATTTTTGGTTAGACATCTTCCATTCGATGCAAGAGGTAATTAAGCTCAGATTTTCTCTCTTTTTTTGTCCATAATTTGATATTTATGCTTTTTTTTTTGGGATTCGATGGAGAACGACTATATGATTTTTAAATGTGGATTTTAATGGTTTTTTTCCAATTATTTGAGACTTAATGTGATTTAAGGTGAAATTCTAGAGTTTCAGTTTGAAAATTTGGATTGCATTGCACTTTAATGCACATCTCTATGATTTTGGATACGGTTCTATAGCATGATGTGTGGGTAAAGTAAATTGTTACATTATGATATTTTCTTAACCATGTAGTAATAATTGGTTATGATATTTGCTTGACCATGTAATAATAACTGGCTATGTAATATGTGGGAAAAGATCATTGTTGGCATATATATTGACTTGGCCAAAGAGTGTGTCAATTTAAGCACGAATTTTGGTTTACACATATTTTTGGAGCATATTGGCTTGTCAGATCTGCTTGCCTATTGTCGTTTATCTTTGGTCAATGACTTTTCTTCTGTAATTCTGGCTGATAGTATTAGGAACCTTATTTTATACATCACATGTATGTAATATAAGGTTCCACCCAATTTTCAGACAATGCTGGAGATACATATTTCTAAGTGCCCTGCCATGTTTCATGTGTTCTGTTCTGTTAAAGTTTCCTTTTCTTTTCTTCTTTATGCATGTGAAGCAAGCTGGAGTTTATCTTCTAGAAAGCCTTTTGTTGATTGTCCATCATTAGTTGAAGAGGTTTAACTTTTCTCAAGGTAAAACTGAACTGATGATATTAACTCTGAAAACCATGTTGGATGGAGCTTAAAGGGATGGGAGATAAAATAGTCTAACCATCAAATCTATGCTAATATATGAAATTTAGAGCGTCTCAGTAGATGATTTGTCAACTGGTGCATCAGCATCTTTGAGAATCTCTTCATGATTGTGAGGAAGCTTCAGTTCTATGGCAGTCTTCCTAATTGCCCCAGACTTAGTGTTGTTGATCTGTGGAGTGCATGTAGGGGTTACCTTTCTGTGTTCTTCTGTAGGCTGTAATACCTCATATTGTGACCACCCTGACCCCATTTCGTTCTAAAGGAGGTCTTTGTGGAGCCTTGTTTATGCTGCAGGTAGCAACATTTATATTCTGCAAGCATGATTGCTTTGTTAAAGGTTGATATATTCCCTTTTAGTGGACCTAGAATCTGAAGCTAGTAAACACATTCTTGATGGCTACAAGTTGAATGCTGGGCTTCATAAATGTTGGCTTTTTATCAATATTTTAGTAGAAGATTATTCTGCTATCAGCTATCAATAATGTCATCTGATAACTATCAGCTATAATCAACGCCTATTTAAATTACCCACTTTTTGTAAAGTTATTCTTAGCCATTGAAAGTTTCATAAATGGTAGTAGTATTCTGCTTGCATTACTCAGCAGAGGATGAGTGCCTGCTGCCTATGCTGTTTTGCTATCTTTAAGATGGAAATTTGCAAAAAGAAAAGGCCAAATGACTTAAATAAAACAAAGAAAATGATCAACATCTCAGAAAAAAAAAAGTATAAAAAGAAAGGGTAAAGAAGGATAAGGAGAGAAGGATAAGGCATGTACTAGTTACAATGGAAATGAAATTGATCTTTAAAACTAGAAGCAGCAAGTCAGGATGTAGTATAATTTTTCCAAACTTTCTTAATGTAGTGTAATTTTTCAGCAAATGTCAAACTTGTTGAATTTTAACCAAATCTAAGTCTTGACCAATGTAGAAGCTGGCTTCAACTCATTGTTAACTACTACAAGAAGAATCAGAACAATTGCCACATTTATTAATTTCCTAGTTACATGATGTAGATTACGTTGCTGCTGTCTCAATTGAGTGCTACTGCTGTCTATCAGGTAACTTCTAATGTGATTTCTGAGCTGAGCATTAAAGTGCTCTGACATCAGTTAAAATAAAGCAGCTTCTAATGCTTGTAACTTGTTTCTGTCCACAGCTAATTTTGGATTTAAGCTATTCTGATTGCAGTATATATTTTGAATTGCCGTGAACCTTTTTTGCATGATAGATGTAATTTGAAGATGTCAGCGATCAAGTTCCTTGAACCTGTATAATTAGGAGCAAGAAAATTAGTTTGAGTTTAAAGTAAACTGCAAGATGGTGTTCTCTTTCTTTTATCTTTATTTTTCATTTCTATGGGTTGAAATTAACTTGAAAAGATTATTCTTAATGCACCCTAATTTTTCAGTGATCTTTTGGATTCGTATGAGCTAATTAAATCTTTTAATACTTTTGTTGTTCTTTGCTTTTAGTCTCATCAGACTTTAGACTAGTGAAGGTATTTTGATACATATGTGTAATCATGTTACATACCATTTACTACTTTTTATATGTTTCATACCAAAACTGTTGCCCTTTGCTATTGATATGGTTCTCCAAAATATCACCCTTTACTGTTATGTAATGCCTTGCATGTCAGTTTATTATTACGTTTATCTTGGTTTAGAATAATAAGATGATATATTTTCTTTGATACCTTGCTTTCCACTTGTACCTTAATCTGGTATTTCAAGGTTTTAAATTAAGCTCTCTTTTTTCTTGGTCTATCATTTTGTTTTTCTTAATTTTGCGTTTAAAAACCGTGTTCATGGCTATTTTCTGTTTAAATGCTTAACCACTAAGTTTCTTTGGTTTTTCATAGTGCAGAAATTGTAGAGGGCTTCTCTGAACTCTTTGAATTCAAATTCATGTGTTGAACAGAACTTGTTGGCATATTGTATTTGAGGATTTCTCTGAGCTATTCTGACTCTAGTTCAAGGTAATTTTCTCTGAAAATTTCATAGATGTCCAACTCCTCCATTCCAGAAATTGATTTGTCTCTTACATACTCATTTATAAATCTATGGGTCTGCATGTTTTAGTTGTGTCCACCCAATAAAAGCATCATTTTCTGTTAAAATGGATCTGAGGCACCTCACAGACTTTGATTTACATGTTAGAGCCTAATTTAGTTGCTAAGATTTACAAGTGAAGTAGCTGACTTCCTAAATAGAAAGGTATATTATCTTTGCTTAACCTTATGTATGGTCTAGGTAACTAGTGTGCAATAATTATCTTCAATAACGTATGGGATAAAGCTATGTAGTACAAAAAGTTGCTCCTAAACTGCATGATTAAAGACTCCTAAACTAGATTGTTTTAGAAAAAATTTTCATCAAAAGTAAATAAGTAAAAAATTTGGTAATTAAGAACTTGTAAATAATTTGGTCATTCCACGAAACTCTTTACGTTGCATATGCCAAATTTAGTCTGAAATTGGGCTGTCTGACCCAATTATACCTGATTGAAAAAAATTATAATAACACACGGGGGCGGATTATTCAATTACACATTAATGCACGGAAAGGTCTGTTGGAATTAAATTAACCCAAACAATTTTAACATAACTTTTTTTTATTTCAAGGCGTTGTACACGGTACCACACTTTGAGTAATTCTATGGTTAGAATGAAGAATTAACAGAACCAATTGTTTGAAAATTCAGATGGACTTGAACATGAACGGAAATGACAATTCCAATCCCACCGCCGCCGCTGCTGCGGCAACTGATGGAAGTGGCAACATCGGTTTGGTCATATCCACTACCGAGACAATCCGATCATTCTTAATGACAGCATCTACAGACCCTAATCTCCCTCAAGACTTGAGAGACCTGGCTTCCTCCCTTTCCCCTCACTCCTCCCTTTCCTACAAATCTCTCAAGTCCATTTGGATCGGATCCGACCCAAAAACTCGGCCCAGCCTCTTCCGTTTGTTCTCTGGTTCAAATTTCATTTTCACCAGCCCAAAGCCTAGAGAAAAGGTGCAATTACTTTGGGCATTGAATTAATTAATTACTTATTGTATTGAATTGAATTTTGCTTGTTTACTCTGAGTTGATGGATTATTTTATTTTTGAATTGTGGGTGAAGAGTGAGGAATTGAAAGCGAGGCTAAGGAAGCTGGCGGAGGTGGCGGAGAAGAAAGAATATGAGGAATTGGTGAAGGATATTACGCCGAAGAAGGGCGTGGAGGAGCCTTTTTCTTCTTACAAGGATCAATTAGGACTTGGTCAGTTCTTTTTCTCAATCCTTTTTTTTTTAAAAATATAGTTGATTTAATCTCGTTTGATTTTTTTTTTTGGTAAATTTGATGATGATTTTTTTGGGTATATTATTGAATTGTAGAGCTATTTGTTCAACTCGTCAAATTGTTAGCATGATAACTTTTATTTTTTTCAATTTAGGGCCTTCTGATCAATATGCTGAAATTACACAATGCAGCAAAAAAAAAAAAAAGATTGTGTGTGCTGGTGTATATTCTGAAATCTCGTCAATTTTAGAAAGAATTTAAAGAAAGAATGTAAAGCCATGGCTAGGTGGAGGGTCAAAGGTTTTCTACATAAGTAGAGAAGTTGACCTTAGAACAAATGTTGAATGCTACTAAAGTTCGAAAATGTATTCCCAAGTTATTATTGCGTTTTGCAGTACATATATTGTAAAAGACAATATATATGATGTCTACTAGTTCCAATGATGCTAAAGTGCAGTTGATATGCACCTGTAGTCAAAAGTCTGTGATGTAAATTAATAGAACTATGAACCGACAGAAATTTTACAGTGTTATGCTTGTGTGATCTACAAAAGTCTGCCTCAGTGTATTAAAATTTGGACTCAGTACCAATTTTCAGTTTTGATCCCTTCACATGAACTTTAAGGATCAACCTTGTAGGTAATATTAAGTTGTCTGCAGGTTGCCTTTTTGTATGACTGGTGCCAAGTTTTCCATTGGTATCTTTGGCGTCGATTGTTTGAGAATGAGATAAGGGCGAATGAGCATAATTTTGATTATGAAGTGAGCGCATTCATGCTTCATCTGGCAAGAAATCTTCTATTGTTGAAGTGAGCACCTTTGTGTTAAGTTGATGCTTCATCTAGCATGACAGCTTTAATTGTTATTTTAAAACAGCAGGAAGGTCAAACACTGGAAGCAACATAGAAAAAGGCACTTCAACCTTCTTTAAAGTTTCAGATTTACTTTTGCATAGTCTCATGAAAGTAACTGTAGACAACTTTTCCATATGGACCTCGAGGAGTTAATTGTCCTTGTATAATTGGTAAGATATTTGTTTTAGATTCTTGAGGATTCCTTGATGCTTCAACAAAAGTTACCAGCACAATTGAAGTTATTTTGGGCCTCCAATCCTACTGCTGCACTGATTGGCAAGTTTTTAGCCACGAGAGAGAGAGAGAGAGAGAGAGGAACAACTTGAGATTTTAATTCATGTATATTATTATAGCTCTGTTAAATTTTTTGTGAAATCTGCTGGCTGCCAGTTTCAATTGGTTTTTGGTGCTCTTCTGATTGATCTGTGTAGCATAGAATTTGCTTCAAGGCAATTTCCTCTTAATAATATCTGAGGTGTCTCAAATCTTTATTTTATCTTAACTGTACCTTGATATGCTTATTATTTTTAAAACCTCTTCATGTTAAAAATGAATATTTATTGTTTGTTGCAGGTTTGCATGTTGCAGTTACTATGTTTACTGGCTATTTGGTTGGATATGCTGCATTCAGAGCCCTGTTTAGCCGCAATGTTGGAATGGTAGCTCCCTGGATTCTTCTGCAAATATTCTGTAGAATCATGCTTAGGCTGCTTGGTTAATAAATTGCTGTGTCCAAAGATTCTCCTTCTGCTATCTCCCTTTGGTCTTTAATTGTCCTATAATGAACACTTCTTTTATTTCTATTGTAGAGCGCTGCAGGAGGCATCCTTGGATTGGTTGGTGGCATGCTTGTGGAAACACTACTTTTTATAATCCGATCTACCAATCAGGACCGACGACCCTCTGCTTTTGTGTCCAGGATAAAAAAGGATCAGTAACTTCTCCACAGCAAGGTTTTGCTCTTCCTATTCAATTTTCATTTTGTTGTTTCTTATATTTTTGGTGTTAATTGCATAAAATGAAAGTTTTTTCGCATGTAATACTGGTCAGGTGGTCGTGAAAATTATGTGACATTGACGAAGAGGTTTGTCTTTGTTCAATGATATTCTTACTGTGTTCAAGGTAGACGATCATCAGGGTTCTGGTTCTGTTCCTTTTCGGTCTAAATTCTCTAATTGTGTCCTCCCCAGTATGATGTTAAGTAGACCTAGGTGTATGGCTAGGACTAGGAAAGAGGACAACATCTCAAAGTCTAGTTGTTATGGTCATTGACAGCCATGCAAGAAACATTAAAAAGCAACAGGATTAAAGCAAACAATCCGGAAGCTAGAGTGAACCTTTGCCTTTAATAGGTTGTTATTCATTTGAGCCATTTAGTGTATAGAAGATTTTGATTATCTTTTGAGAGAAATAGGTGCAGTGTGCAAGTACTAGCTGTTAAAATCCCTTCTCAGCACGAACCTTGTGGTCTGCTCTATGTTGTTGTTACACTCTTTTGACAGTAGAGAAGATGATCCCTCTAATAAGGGTATCATTCTTATCATAAATGTTATGTGTAATCATGAGATTGCAGCTTGTTTCATCACCATACCAATTTTCATATACTCCTGCATGGTTAGTTGCTTGTCTGCTTTTCCAAGTACATATCAATTTCGGATCATTAACCTCCGAGGTTGCAGCTTTTTTATTCATCATACCAATTTTCATAAACCCCTGCATGGTTAGTTAGTTGTTCTGCTTTCTTAAGTACGTAACACCCTAAGGAGGTCCATGCCAGTCCTTACTGAGTTTGAGATTGAAGGCATCAAATGTTGCTGCAGATTGTCCTTGCTAAGTTTGAGATTGGATTCGAAAAAGGATTTAGCACCCTTTTTTTTTTTGGTTTTGGATAAGCATTCAAGACCTTTTACTTATAATCCTTCTTATCTGACCGTTCAGTACAATCCTCCGTTGAAAAAAGTGAAAACTATTATATGCTCGAGTTCTGTCAGTTCTATCTTCAATGTCTCAATTGAAGATGAAAAGGAAACAAAGCGCAACAATTGTGGGAATCAACTGGGAGTAAATGGAGATAGTAACATAACATTTATTACATTTAAGGTTATTAGGCTTGATTTCACCCCTTGGAAATAGGCATAGGAGTTTAGAAGAAACCCAAAAATTGAAAATCGAAAGTTTCCTTCCTAAATAAAAAATGTGCCGCTGCATGTAAAGGATATTGTACCATTAAATTTTCAGAAACTTCTTTAGAGAGTTAAATTAATTTTTGACGCAGATGTTGTCGTCGATAAGTTTTCAGCAGAATGCAAAGCGGTACAGTTAAAGATTTTATAGCTGTTGAGAAATGTTTGGTCTCCTTAATTGGAATCATTTGTCTTTTCTGAGTGAACAATTCTAGACTAATAAATGTGGTCTTATCTTGATTCCTCTGAGTGAGTGCATGCAAGTCTTGTCTACTCCGAGAGTGAAAAAAAAGACAGAAATGCAAATAGCGTAATCTGGTGGTAAATTCGCATATACGACTAAACTGGAAAAAGATGATTAATAATTCGCACTTGGCATGATAATTATGCTCCTGAAGACTAAGTTTAGTTAATGGAACTTTTTTTTAAGGATATTTTTCTTTGTAAGAGTATGGAAGGATGACTAAAGTTGAGACTCGAGAAACTGAATTTAAATTCTCTTTCCTCCTCCTAACTTCTTAAATCTCATTTTGTTTTCCTACTAGAATTCTTTTTTTAAAATAAATGATTTCCAGGGAAAAATAAATGGAGAAGAACAAAACAAAACATATTCTTTTCAATTTTTAAAAAAGGAAGGCTTGGAATTGATTTCACTAGAGCAGTTGTTTTACTTGTGTTGAATGGGGTACTCGTTAGGATGAATTTTATGTAGTATTAATTTTTGAGAAAAATAAAATTACATTGAAAAGGTGTCTAAATACAATAAGAGACAGCAAACATGAAACTATGCATTCACAAAATCACCTATTAAGTATAAAATAGGGCAACTGCATTGGAAACCCTTCGCGGGATAAGATGAAGAAACGGTTGCTCTCAACAACAGAAGAAACTAGAATAGAAAAATCATAGTCCGCCTACCTACAAATAGCGATTTTAAATCATGACATATCTAAATTATAGACACAAATATGAAAATCTTTAAAATAAAAAAAAAAGATGAATTATCCATTAAGTTGTTTTTATCGTTTAAATTGTACATTGCTTTTTATTTTTTAATTTTTATTTTAACGTAACGGCATATCTAGTCTAAGCTAACTTGCTCTTACTCCTACTGGGGGAGCCTACTCTAGAAGGTGGCTTAACTGAGTCGGGGAAACCTAATGGGGACTGAACCACTATCAGACCAGACGGATGCACCACATGTATCACGCATTCGTATGAATTTAGAACAAATCTCATATAGAGGCATATTGATGGTAGGCAAGGTTTGAAAACCCTTGACCTTCCACTTTATAATTAATGTGGTGATTAGCTCCCTAGAGGAAGTTGGTTTAAATCGTACATCGCTTAGTATAGAAATTTTTTGTTGTTGCTTTTTGGTAATCAAGGAAACTTGATTCCACTTCAGATCACATGGTTGATAGTCAAACTAATAGGTAAATTCTTCTTGGCATTCACGTGGGAGGCCGGCCCCCAAAACCACCCCAATCAAAAGGAAGGAAGCTCCGAGACTCAAGTCAAGAAAGGAATGGGGCAAGCATGGGCAAAGGATATATGAATAGAGAACCCAAAAGAGAATATGGGGAAGAAAGGGATGGATCGCAATGTAAGGATCTTTGTTTATCTCTACTGTTTTTCGAAAGCGATTCTCCGTTTCATTTTCATCGTTCAATTACCGGAAAACAAGAGCACAATCTAAGTGCCTAATGAATGTGCTAAACCCTGCCTACCCAACTGGGACGGAATTGCTTACAAATTTCTGAATGTATTTGGATATGTATTTCTTTTAAATATTATTTTACTTGGATCATAAATGCTTTTTTAATAAACTTTTTATACTTCTATTTATTTCTATTTAGTACATATCATATCACAAAGAGTACTATAATAATTATTTGAAATAATTTTTTATTTTTTTTTGACAGACAATAATTTTCTATTTAAATGCACTCACGTTTAGGTAGTAACTAAGGTATCTTGGCTAAGAATCCAAATTAATTAATTTGCTACCGTGATTTTTGCTTCCTTTCAATGCAATGAAAGAAAAATAATAAAGAATGATGGGTTAGATGGTTAGATGATTCGAAGGAAGACGGGGAGAGTGAGAGGTCTTAGTTCGAATTCCCTCATTTATACTAATAATAATAATAATAATAATAATAAAGAAGTAGAACACAGATTCACAAATACCATATCCTACAACAGTAGAATCATACCACTTGCTACTAGAGTCTGCTGTGTGATTTAACCTGGCTTGGTTTTAGGGACATGGTTTTCCAGTCGCAGAATTCTCATTTGTGATGCCAAACACCACGACATGATCAGTGGGGACAACATTTTCATCATTGACATTCAAAATCGTGCAGTTCACATGATTGGGAATTAAAATTATTTGCTCTCTTTGCTCTACTGATTTTTGTTCCCCTAATTATGGTAGATAGAAAAGTGCAAATCAAGCTATCAAGATAGAATTCCACCATCAAAACTTTCCTCTTTTATTTTTTTTTTTTTTATTTTTCCATTATGTTTAGTGGGGTTAACAGGTTGAGAGTGGATGAGCTTTACCATTTTATCAACTGGACTGAACTTCAAACAACTCTTGAGTGAGTTTTACTAGTCTCAAAGAAATATATTAGCCAGCCGAAAACGTTCTCAAAGAAAAAACAAAATTCAATCAAAATAGACAAATTTGGCACTAAGCAAAAATGGGTCCAAAAGCTCCAAAAATGGCATCCTTTTTTATGTTATCTTGTTATCCAACTTCCCTTCCTCACCAGATAAAAGATAGATTACACTGGGCCAGTGTCCCTCATCAACGTGTCACTTTCTTCTTTCAATCTTTTGTCCACTTACCCGCTCTTGTCTTCTTTGTCCGTTGTCCTTTACCTGGGGCGTTTTCTCGGCCGCAATCTCAATTTTTGCAAAGCTCAAGCTCTCAATTTTTGCCCTTTTAGGCGAAAATTGGAAAGGTATTAGTGGTTTGGTTCCCAGCACTCGTTAAGATAGTTTTACCTGTATATTTGTTGATAAGAGTCAAACCAATTTGAGAAAGAAGTATCTCAATGCAGATGATAATAGATATGAATATGTGCATTTATGTGATAAGTTAAATGTAAATTAAGTATTTTATCGAGATGTCTCGAATATTTGTTAAAAAATCTGTGATTCAGTTAAGTTAGGTGCGTGCGAGAGAGCAAAGTATTTTCGGAAACTTCTCGTTGAGTGGAAGTAGGTTCGGTTGATATGATTTTGATCTTCAAGAAAACAAACAAGTCCTAGGTGCTAATTAAACTCAATTGGACTTTGGCTAAATTATAACAACATATTAATTTATTGATGTCATTTGAAAAGCATCTCTAGTAGTAGTGGTCAAAGACTACAAGAAAGAAGGGGAAAAAAAACCATGGAGTTCAAAATTTTGTATAGGGCGAAAAATAGTGAAGAAGTAAATGGAATGATCGGCTCATTTTGGTGAATTGCAGCATTTACATTTCGCTAATCCAATTCTAGTTGTGTTTTAGAAAACTCTTCGGAGCTTGAAACATGATATTCTAGTGCAAATAAACAACATCTCTTGAAATTAATAATTCCCCATCAAATACATGAAACAACATGACTTCATTTGGTTGCCTCTTCAATCACTCGTACCAACCAAAACAAAGGCCAATTTAATCACCCATACCAAATACCAGATTGAAGATCACATAATTTATCCCCAAAAAAAAGGGATTTTCTTAACATGTGTTTCAAGGGTATTCATTAACACATCTAATATTTACATAACCTATAATATATATATATATATATATATATATATATATACACACATCTTAATAATTATTATCCTTTATTACATTTATATTATTTTCCTATTTAATCTTACTTATCATCTCTTGTATATATTTACTTTTTCTAATTAATCATATATTTTTAAAAATATAACACTTGAAATATAACTTAACAAATATCTTGTTGAACTGTTTAATATAATACATATCGCTTCTGCACATACTCTCACAATTTAATAATATCATCATTATTTAAAAATAAAAATAAAAAAAAAAAGCTACTATTACAAGAAGGTGGTACGGTAAGTGGGGTCCGCATCGTTGGCAAAAAGTCACGTGACAGCGCAATTGTCGTGACACGTGGACTAAGCATCCAGTCCACTGGAAATGCTGAGTTGCTGACTCTCCACTCCAGTCTTCATCGCCGAACCCTCCGCCGGCTAAGCCCTTCACGTGAGAAGCTACACGTGTCATCAACTTACTGCGTGATCGAAAAGTCAACTCGGTAGTACAATCCAACGGTCCTCATTCATCACCAAAACCCCCCACTATATAAAGCAGTTCGATAGAAGATAAAAGGTCTCCAGTATGCATCTCCTGATCAGTTTCAGGGAAAATAAGTCAAACAAAAATTTCTACTTCTTGTTCTTCCAAATATGAAAGCTATGATAATCCGAACCGGGTCGGGTTCGTTCCCCGCCAGGAATTGGACCCCTCCGAGTCCAAGCTCGCCGAGAATTTCAGTTTCGATGCCGGCTCGGGAATCCGACAAGAAAAGCGGTGGTTCTTCGCCGAGCATTTCGCTGCACACGGACCTGAGTCGCCGGAACATTCGGCGGGCGTCATCGGAGCCGGACATGATGCGATCCGCAATGGAGGGAGTGAAGAGCACTAGCAGGAGCGAGCTCGGATCGCGAGCTCTCGTGGCGAGGATACCTGAGGAAGAAGACGAGAGCACTGGATCGTTGACTGTGGTGGAGAGTCCGAGAGCGAGAGGCAGCAACGCAGGAGGTTGGCCGCAGCGCGCGATGCCGTTGGAGGAGGTAGAGTTTCCAGGCGGCGGTATTGGGAAGAACTGGAATTCTGGCGGCGGAGGTAGAGATGAGTTCGGAACTGGCGGGAACGCTGATCTGAGCAAGATCGGTGCCTATTACGAAGAAATGATCAAGTCAAACCCTTCCAACCCTCTTCTTCTGAGAAATTACGGCAAATTTTTGCATGAGGTATACTACGCCATACCACTCTATTTACATCTAATTGAACTCTGGAATTTCTCAATTATTGTTCAATTAATCAAATATTTGATTAGTTTGTATTTTTGTGTACAGGTGGAGGGAGATTTGGGCAGAGCAGAAGAGTATTACGGGAGGGCAATATTGGCAAGTCCTGGAGATGGAGAAGTGCTGTCCTTGTATGGAAACTTGATTTGGGAAAACGAAAGAGATGAGAGCAGGGCAAAATGTTACTTTGATCAAGCGGTTCAAGCTGCGCCTGATGATTGTATGGTGTTGGGTTCATATGCACATTTCATGTGGGAAGCAGAGGATGAAGATGATGATGATGATAACGACGGCGATGTAGTGGCGGCTCCGGCAGCTGCCGCCGTGGTTGAATCGTTTTAAGTTCTTAACAGAGCCATCAGTAAGATACCGCTCTGGAAGAGCCAGAATTCTAACCTTGTGCCCGGACCTGAGACCATTGAGATACCGCTCTGGAAGAGTTAGAATTCTAACCTTTGTGTCCGGACCCCTGAGACCTGAGACCTGAGTCTGCTGCTGTGTTTATTATGATTAGTGTTTAATTATATGTCTAAGGTAACGGTGAAAGGAGGCTATGATGCACTAATAAACGAGCTTATGCTGACTTTAACGAGGGAAAATCTTCCTGTCTTGAGGGAATGTAAAATATTTGGATTCCTGAGAAACTGATGTAAAATATTTGGGTTCTTGAGGGAATGTAAAAGCTAAGCTCGTCCATGTGAATTATCTGAATTTGGGTTCGGAGTACCTTGTTTGGCCTGTAATGCAACGATCATTATATGTGAAAATATCATTACCCAATTTTGTTTTCTTTGATGGGACAATTGAGCAATTTTATTAAGCAATAATTGAAGCATCAACCAAGAGAATATGCTGAGCAGAGTCTGGTGCATCGAGTGTTCACTCTTGCTTCTTGATAGATCAGAGCAGCAGGAAGTCGAACCAGTGGAACTCTAGGTTTAAAATAGCATTCCCGTATATTGATTTAGGAATGGCTTGGGATGGTTGTCAGATACAAAAAGTTCCAAATGACTTGTAGCTCGGATTTAGCTGGTAGTGCAAAAATTGGAAACATACGGTTCATACCACTTATGTAACTCTTGACGTAGGTGACATGTGCAATTTTACGTGAACAGTATTTAAATATGATATAATATGATTGTTACAAAGTTGTACGTGTAATTAGCAATGAATTATAACATGTTAGAAAAAATGTTACCAAATGATTGTATTGACGATTGTTTGCGCCCATCTCTTTGATTTAGAAAACGACTAGTCATGACAATCGTATTATCACATTAGTTTATGTCAACTTGTTAGAAAAATGTTACCAAATGATTCTACTCACGATTGTTTGCACCCATTTTCCTAATTTAGAAAATGACTAGTTGTGACGATCGTATTATCACACCGGTTTATGTCAAGTATGACAAGACAATCATGTTATCATGGTAGTTTTTGCCCCCCTCTCCATTTTGATTACGACAATCATGTTGTCACGCTAGTTTATGAAACACTAGAAGCTGCTAATTTGGTGGTTTAGGAGTCAAGTTAATCAGCAACTAATGTTCTAAAATTGGGCATATTAGTTGATCATTAAGCAAGCAAAGAGATAAAACATTATGATTCTGTTCTTTCTACAGTAGGGAATTAGGGATGTTTTAGAGTGCTAATTTCACGTTAGTGGAGCAAAGAAAGAACTAGGAACTCTAGGGTAATTAACATCACCATCCACAGATATGCTTTTGGAGTTCAACTAATTAA